ATATATTTTATATATATAACCTACTTATCTGTGTATTTAATTAAATTTTTTTGTCTGAAATCTTGTTGATACGACGGGCTGACCGGTCAACACTGATTTAAGACACAGCACACAGATAAAGTAGTTATGTCTCATGCCTTACGTAGCCGTGGACCCAGCGCATGGATGAGTCAAGCGGATGATAGTCCCCCAGAGATGGATGACCAGGCCGGCCACGACGCTCCAGCTCCCACAACATCGCGCAGCCCCTCACCTCAACATTCAGCGTTATCTCCAGAGATAATTGCCTTAATGAAGTTTATGAGAGATGAGAGACGCGAGGATGAAGCCCACAGACGTTTGGCGGATGAGCACAGAAGGCAAGCAGAGGCAGAACGAGACCACCAACGGAGAATGGAAGACAGTGCACGGTTTGAAGCCTTGATATCTCGCCTCACTGTTAACCAAGCCCCTGGCTCTAACACTGCCTCGGTACTGAATGGTTCAGATACCTCATCCATGCTTCCTTCACGCCCCCCAGCCCCACCTAAAGCAGCAGCTCAAACGCCGCCCATCTTGAAGCCTGATGTAAATTTCCAGACTTTTCGCGAATGGCGGCGGCGGTGGGCTGATTATGCTACAATGGTGGATCTCCAGAGTTTGTCACAGCCTAAACAACTCATCCAGCTGCGTATGTGCCTGTCCTTGGAAGTTCAGCGTGTCTTAGAACATACGCTGCAGGTACCCCCAACCTCTTCGCTGTCTGTAGAGGAGGTACTGGACGTTCTACAACGGCACATCAAAGGACAGCAGAATGAAGCTCTGCGCAGGAGGGAATTGTTTAGCTGCAGACAGATGGAGGGTGAGTCTTTTGACGCTTTTTATGTACGTCTTAAGTGAGCCTCGGAAGAGGTAGATATATGTTTAGGCCACCACCAGCAGTGCGAGGAGACCCAGTTGAAGCAGGTGATCTTGATGGGTGTTAAGGACGAGGAACTTGTCCAACGCCTCACCTCCCTCGACTCTTCCTCTTCTCTTCAGGATGTGTTGACGATATGTCGCTCCTATGAGGCTGCCAGGTGTGCCACCTCTGCCATCCGAGCTCCCCCTACAGCTGTACGCGCTGTGTCCCGGTACAAGAAGGACAAGAAGTCTGTTCCTACGCCTTCGCCCACCACGTCCACGCCCGGTTCATTTTGCAACAACTGTGGTAAGCAGCACGGAACACAGGTGTGTCCAGCTGCTCAGTCTACCTGCAACAGTTGTGACCGTATGGGCCACTGGTCGCTCACAGTGCGGTGCCCAGCTAAGTACGTACAGTGCAATGTGTGCGGTCGCCTGGGCCACTATGACAAGTGTTGCCCTACCCACGAACCCAAGGGACAGCGTCGGCGGAAGCTTCGGCGCCCTTCTACCAGTGAGGGCCGCCCACAGTCGCCAAATCAGAGGCACGACGACCCTGGACAAAGCCCGACCCATTTTAGGAGGGTGTACTCCTCGCACCCCAGGACCAAAGTCACCCAGTACATCAGCGCCATCGTGACCTACGGCGGTGTGTCATCCCGTCTTCAGATGTTGCCCGACACCGGCGCTGATGCTACAGTCATCGGTCCCCAGCATTTGCGACGCTTGGGGCTCTCTCCAAGCGATCTAGGACCGCCTCCCGAGGACCTCCGCTTTATGGCAGATGGTTCACAGATGGCCCCAGCCCTGGGTTCACTCTATGCACATGTCACCTTTGGCAACAGGTCGTGTCAGGCCTGGATTGACGTGCATAATGGTGTCCCGACTCCCTTGCTGTCCTACAGACATTGTCAAGAGTTAGCCATCATCTCCCAGGACTTCCCAACACCGATTCTCGAGGTAAATTACGCCAACAGGGTGCACGAAGGGAGCAGCAACTACCCTGCTGCCGCCCTACCCCTACCTCTGGCCAGTGACACCTCTCCTTCGGTAGTTGTCCCTGCTGCATCACGCCCCCACGCCTTGGCTCGCCTTCACGACAGCCACCGTGGAGCTGAGGCCACCAAACGACGTGCACGACAGACTGTGTTCCGGCCTGGCATCGACCCCGACATCTCCAATGCTGTCCAGGTGTGTAAGCCCCGCCACGTATTACAACCCAGCCAGCAGCAGGTACCCTTCATGAGTGACGACAACCCCACCCGCCCCTTTGAGTCTGTGTCGGCCGACTTTTTCGGTGTGTCAGGAAAGTCCTTCCTGGTTATCGTCGACCGTCTCTCTGGTTGGCCGGTTGTCATCAAGGGCGGTAATGACACGACGCCTGCCGCCACCATCAGCAAGTTCCGCCACTACTTCCGTGACGTGGGCGTTCCTGTACGCCTGCGAACCGACGGAGGGCCTCAGTTCACAAGCCGGGACTTTGCTGCGTTCCTTGACCGATGGGGAGTCCGGCATGTGTTGTCATCGCCCCATTACCCGCAGTCCAACGGCCACGCTGAGGCTGCTGTCAAATCTTTGAAGCACCTCATCCTTAAGGTGGCCCCTTTTGGGAATATTGACTGCGAGGCCTTCGACCGGGGTCTTCTTGAACTCCGCAACACACCCAACTACACCGGACGCTCCCCCGCCCAGGTTTTGTATGGGCGCCCCCTTCGTTCTTGTGTCCCTGCTCACCCTCAATCCTTCTCCAAGGAGTGGCAGGCTGTCGGCACCTAAGTCCGTGTTCAGGACCTGACCTCCTACGCTGGGGACAAAGTAGGCGAGTCATGGGTCTCGCAGGTCACGGGACTACTAGGTGCGGTTACCCAGTGGTCGTAGGTGGTGGAGGAACCGCCGCTTCTCCGCCTCTGCAATGCTGGCCCCCGCCACTCAGTAGCAGAGTCCCATAATTCTTTCCCAGTGATGAAGTCCTCGATTACCAGAACGGATCTGAAGAAGGTCCGGCCAAGACTTTGGCAGCAGGAGCGATAGGGAAGGGAGGTGTGTGTGTTATTATGTACGCTGGATTATGTATTATATGTATATTATGTATGTGCTCCATTTATATTTATTCAGCTCTAGCTAGCAGCGTGGTGGCAACAAGCATACTATCCCACGCCTTTAATTATCAGGCCTGGCGACGTATGGAAGCTGCTAATGTATCACTTGCCATACGTCGTCTATGGTAGTTGACCAGGACCTTAGCTAGGGAGCAGTGCTATCCACCTCTGTGTACATACTCTTATCCAGTAAACCGAACCTACAAAACTATACAGGTGTTTGTGTTCTCTCCTGTATATAGAACTTATTACCCAGAACATCTAACAAACGGGACAAATTTTTTCTGACCTTCTTGTGGATGTTTTTGAAAATGTTTTTAAAAGTTATTGCAAGAAGAATAATATAGATTTTAAGATTCTCCTCATGTTAGATAATGCGCCAAGCCGCCCTCCCACCATTGCTGAGCTTTCTGACAATATCAAAGTGCTCTTTCTACCTCTGAATACAACATCTCTCCTTCAACCAATGGACCAAGGAGTAATAGCAGCCTTCAAAGCCTATTATTTGAGGCATACATTTAAGAAACTTATTGCAGCTACTGAGGAAGGAAATGATAAGGCCAGTGTTCTTCAGCAGCTACTGAGGAACGAAATGATAAGGCCAGTGTTCTTCAGCAGCTACTGAGGAAGGAGATGATAAGGCCAGTGTTCTTCAGCAGCTACTGAGGAAGGAGATGATAAGGCCAGTGTTCTTCAGCAGCTACTGAGGAAGGAAATGATAAGGCCAGTGTTCTTCAGCAGCTACTGAGGAAGGAGATGATAAGGCCAGTGTTCTTCAGCAGCTACTGAGGAAGGAGATGATAAGGCCAGTGTTCTTCAGCAGCTACTGAGGAAGGAGATGATAAGGCCAGTGTTCTTCAGTTTTGGAAAAGTTTCAACATCAAGCATGCAATTGACATCATTGTGGAGGCCTGGGGTGATGTAAGTAAGGACTGCTTGAGTGGAGTTTGGCAGAAGCTTCTCCCAGATTTAATTCATGATTTTACAGGCGTTGATGCATCAGAGGAGCTCCCAAAAATAAAAGAAAATTGTGTTTCTCATACAAAGCAAGTTGGCTTTGCTGAAGTGGAAAGTGCCGATGTTGAGGGACTGCTCGAGTCCCACTGTGAAGACAGCTGATCTACAACAACTTGTTGCTGCTGGGGAAATAGAAGATGCCGAAGATGATGAAGTGCAGGATGCAAAACCAAGAGAGCTTCCCACTTCTCTTTTGTCTTCTATCCTGAGGGAAGTTGATGAGCAGTTGCAACTCTTGGAAAACAATGACGTCAATGCAGATCGGAGCAGGATTGCAGTTCGTGGTGTTAAATCTTTTTTGGCACCTTATGAACAGCTTCTTTGTGAAAGAAGAAAGACGGCAAAGCATCAAACACTAGACGTCTTTTTTTAAAGTTAACCCCCAAGAAGCAGTCTGAGCCACATTCTGAAGACACTGAACCACAGCCATCCACTTCTGGAATTAGACGTTTTTTTCGTCCCTCCCATGCAACCAAAACTGCACCTGATACTGATGATGACAACTGTCAAATCCTGTCTGCATGACACCTCAACCTCAGCATCACCCTTTTCCCCCATCAAGTTATATTCATATTTTTTCAAGGTAAAGTGTAACATTTACTGTATGATTTCATTATTAGATATGAATGTATCATATATTTAGACTGTGCTATCCTTTGTGTTAGGCTAACTACTAAATATTTTTTATTTCGAGTAATCTACACCTAACCCTATTTTCTCCATAAGCCCTGTTATTTCTATTGCGCGAATTTCTAGAACGCGAGGTTTTACAAGAACACAACTATCGCGTTATAGCAGAACTGACTGTATTTATATGTAAAAGAATAAGGTTAAAGACAAGCACAAAGCTATGGTACACTCCAGCATTAATGGTAAAATTGTTAGGTGATCCAGTGATAAACACAAGGATACTATGGATGGACCTGGTAAACAAGATTACACAACATATAAGACAAGATCAAGAATAATATTATGCACAACTACCTTACTTCAGGTTCTTACCATCTCCACAGACTTATCCCTTGGGAAGAAGCTCAACTGAAATTTTTTCACTGTGGCTGACATTGGATCATACCATTCTGCATAGAAGATGTACTGCGTCTCTCCCTAGTAGAAAAAAAATTAGTACAAGTTGATATAAAGGAAATAAGCTAATAATGACTAAAAAAAATTCTACACTCATATTGAAATTCCACACCAAGCCAAAATATACCAACATAATGCACTCTTATTTGGTTAAAAACATTGTCTATATTTTCAGGAAAATTCTATATGATGAGCAGACATGATAATACAGTAATGTACAGTAATCAAATATGCCACACACATCCAAGATACAATATTGTATAAGCAAAATGATAATCAGTAGAAAATGTATTCCTAATTTATTCACAATTATCTAAGATCCTTTCTTAAGTAGCAAAATACTGCATGTACAACCATTTACAGAAAAGAGATTTAATTCTATAATGGAGTTTATCTGAGATGCAAGAGAGACCAAAGTTTATATACAGTATGCTGTAACAGCTGGACATGAAGACAAGCCCTGACCAACTCATAGCGACACACAAGCTGACCTTCTTCATGTGGATATTAATAAGGGTGGCAGCTAGAGCGACCACTAGTGCAATGATGAACAGCTTGTTACCCATTGTACCAACTGAAAGTGCACAAAGAACATTACTCTTTTATAATATGTACATTTTCACTGTAAAGAAAAAATAACAATATAAAATGAAAAGATATCCAAGTTCAATATTGGTAGATAATTACAGTATACAGTACTCTCGATTTACCGGAATCCAATATAACAAACTCCCGATTTAGCGGAAGGAATTTTTTCCATTATTTTTCACTCAATTTAGTGAACTAGTTTGCTAAGTCCTGATTAATTCCATTAATATGTTCACACCTATAGAGACACCTCAGACACATGATATGTAAATAGAAACATTAAAAACATTACCCATGGCTTACCTTAAACTAGGGGGTTCGGCATTTGTTTTAAATTTTCTCAATAATTTCCAAACTTTTTTCCAACTGATAGCCACGCTCTTTTGACTTTCTCCCCCACACCACTTCCTTTCTGAGACTACCGAGAAACTTTCGGCATGATGTCTGAGAACAGTGGTTAGTTGACCAAGATGTAGACCGAGAAGTAGCAGTGAACAACACTTGCTGCAGCGGCAGGACACACACTGAGCGGATATAAACAAATCCCATGCACTAAGCAGCGCATCTGGCATGGAATTTAACGGAATCACACTCGGTTTTACCGAACTTGCGAAAATAACGGAAAGTTCGATTTAATGGAAATTTTGATTTAACGTAAAGGGATGGCTCAAATTAGTTTATTAAATCATGAAAATACTGTACAGTGAACCCTCACTTTACGCGGTTAATTCAACCCACAGGGTACCGCGGAAAGTGAGAAACGCGTAAAGTGAACAACATAACATATGGGATTAATTGAAATAGAGACCGGGCCGACCCCCAAGCTCCACTTTTTCAGACACAATACCTACGTTGTAGTAAAAATAACTTCTTAATTTTATGATGGTATGCACACACAATTAATAATTAAGAGAAATATCAATAATATTAGGTATTTACTTACATTAGTAGAAAAGATGGCTGGGCACACGGGGATGGGGGGTTGGTTCCGAGGCAGAGAGCAGATTATTGGCCCTCACCTGTGTCACTTGTATCAATTGTATCACTATCTACCACAGAGGCTTGCAGGGCCTCTTTGTCAAACCCCTCAAAGTCCATACAAGTCTATATCCTCACTATAATTATCACTATCACCGACTTGGGCCGGCTGTGGTGGGTGGAGGGTGAAGAACTCGGTAATGTTTTGATGACTGGGCGACCTTGTGCGCACCCTGCTCGCGCCACTTACACAACATGGCAGATGGCGGGAGAGATGGCAGGAGGTTTGGATCCAAAAATGGCGCGGCTCGCCAGCCGCTCTCCGCGTAAAGGGGTACACGCACCGCGGAATGTGAGCATTCCGGTTTCGGCAGGGTACCGCGTAAAAGTGGAAACGCGGAATGTGGGACCGCGTAAAGCGAGGGTTGACTGTATTTTCTGTTAACCATAAGATCAGTGCTAAGGATCATAACAAGAAAGTTCAGAATAACTTGTGTATTCATGATAATCAGTTCCTAGTAATCATTTTGCACTCCTTTCATTCAGGAAAACTCTCAATGTACGTATAATATTTGTTATATTAATTACCAAGTATATACAGCAGTGGCGGTTCGTCGGTAGGCACTGTGGAACTGCAGCACCCCCTATTTCACCCGATATATATGTACTGTATTATATAATATAATACATCATATATGTTTATTTATTTATACTTGTACAAGATATTTAAAACTATTATCAATAATCCTTAAACTTAATGTCAATGGCCATCCTCTAATTCAGAGAAAACAACAAAAATCCCTGTATGTGGAACTGTCTTACTCGACAGTTCCAAAAACGGGCGTTTGCTTTGTTGCACACATGCGCGCATGTCCTGGAGGCAAGCCGGGGCGAGCACTGTGGATCACACAGTGCCGATCTGGTTATCAGTGTGGGAGGTAGTGTTTACGCATCATCCTGTGTGGTGCTTACACGCCGTCTGCTATATCAAGAGTATTTGAATGTGATATATTGTAGATGATGTGATATCATACTGTATGATATCACATCATCTACAATTTATCACATTCAAATACTCTTGATATAGCAGATGGCGTTTAAGCACCACACCGGATGATGGGTATGATTCATACTCATAGAGACTACATTTTGTATTCATTGTTTTTCCAGAAACTTTATTGTGTAGAAGAATATGAATTAAGTAATTAAACATGGCCTCCTTGTTTTCCCACGAAACAAGTTCTGTGACAGTGAGTGAACTTCAACAACTTAAATTTTCACAGCTGTCTCTTTGAGAAAGTTGCTATTAAGACAAGAGGCCGTCCCACACCTGATATTCAAATATCTCAGCCAGGAATAAGCAACAGTAAGAGGAATATTTGTAGCTTTCATTCAGAATGGTACCAAAGGAAAAATTGACTCTGTGGTTGTGAAGTAAAAAATACATTATTTTGTTTTCCGTGTTTGTTGTTTGGAATTGGAAGTGATGTAACTTGGACAAAAGACGGCTTTAAAAATATAAACAAATTGAAAGAAAAAACTGAAGAACATGAAAAGTCAAAGAAGCATATTGAAAGCGTGGTTTCACTATCACTTTTAGGAAGCGTAAATATTAAAGAAAAACTTAGTGAAGCCTATAGACTTTCGATCAATGAGCATAACAGGAAGGTTACCAAGAACAGTGAAATTTTATCCAAGACAATAGACTGCATTACATTTTGTGGAAACTTTGAAATTCCTTTACGTGCACATGATGAAAAAGATGATTCAGTAAATCCAGGTGTATTTAGGGGATTAATAAATTTGGCCTCTAAATTAGACCCAGATTTAAAGAAACATTTAGAAACAAGTACAGTCTGCACAGGTGTTTCTAAGACTATTCAGAATGAGATACTTGACTGCCTGCTGCAGATATATCATGATGAGATAAAGGGCCAATTGCACGAACGGTTATGGGGTGTACGACGCCATTTACGATGACCTTCTTGCCCTGATCTTTTTCAGCAATATCGCCTTTAACACATGGAATTCTGCACTTTTCAAAGCTTTGGAGGAGTCTCGAAACAAGTTTCCTGGTGGGAATTATTAGCTAGTGCTGTACTCAAAATATCAAAACTTCGAGATCTCTCCAGAGCTTCAAAAGGGTGGTATTCCTGAAACAAGATCAAGGCAAGAAGGTCATCGTAAACGGCGTCGTACACCCAACGACTGTTCTTGCAATTGGCCCAAAGAAAGAGATAAAAGAAGCTTCATTTGTAGCTGTCATGGCTGATGACACAACAGAAGTTTCAGAACACACTCAAATGGTAATTGTTCTACGGTACGTGCTGAATGAAGAAATATTTGAGTGTTTTTGGGGATTCTTTATTCCAGAAAATCAAACTGCAGATGGCATATCAAAATGTATTCTAGAGCAGTTAGATATAATTCTTCAAGGAAATAGACAAAAACTGATAGCTCAGACATTCGATGGTGCAAATGTCATGAAA